TTAGCTAGAATTACCAAGTTCAGTGTTTCTGATAACACTTCATGTCAGCACTACGTCAGAGAAATATTCAGAAACATCATTAGAAAAGAGAAACCATGCTTATGCTAGTGGCTTGCAATTAGTCTTGCTTTTCTCCTCCTCCTCAATTTTCTACAGCCTCTGCTCAGTGCCACATTGGCTGTTTATATCTTGTCAGCTGTATCAATATATCACAATACATTTTCTTATAAATGTGTGGTGCTGTATATCATGGAATTCACTGTGAACATGTGAGGAAGTAGTTTGGAGTTAAAAAAATCTTTTGATTTATATTGTAAAAAAATGAAAGAATTGATTAGATGGGCTGGTCCATTGTGGGACTTGATGCAGTTAATCTATTGGAAAATTGTATCAAATAATTGTGCAAACGCAGGTTTGTGATGCAGCTGTAGGCCAGCAGCATGCTTCCCCATTGCTTAACATCGTGATTCCCCTTTATTTTAAGATTTTGATCCTATTTAATCCATTGATTTCCTTTAAAATGTGAACACATAGCAAAGCATTCTTAGTCATTCTACAATCTTTTCTTTTTTTTTAATGTTCCTACTTAAGACAGGTGCTCTGATCAATTCAGAATTACAGTGTATAGTTAATGTATGACTCTCTGCTACGAATCCTAGAATTACAAATTTTGTTCCTCATTATAGTTGTTTATTTCCTCCCCCCCCCAAAAAAAAGCTCAGCTCTGACAATAAGTGAAAGCAAGAAGGTCCCACTAGTGAATTTGATTCAGAAAAAACACAAATGCCTCATAAAAAGGGGGGTTGATTCCTTCCTCCAACTGATTTATGTAGTTTTGTACATAAGTTATGAAGTTACACTAATTCCTGGGCTCTACCAATGTGATATAGTTGAACACAAAAGCAGAGTGGCCTAGTTCTTTCCCAATGTGTCTTCCCATTAACAGGTGATCATGAGAGACCTTAAGGTTCTGTAATGTTCTTCAAATATTGATAAATGTATTGCATCTCTAAGAATGGATAATAACTGGCTGTTGTCTTATGTAGATGCCTTTCCATATTTAGGGTAGCTCTACACAGCTCTTCCATTTTTAAAAATCACTGTTACTGAAATAAGTATTTAGCATTAAATATCTCCCTGTCTCCAACCCTTATTCTACCTCAGTTTATCTAAAGTCTCCTTTGTAAAGTACAAGATCTTTAAAATGAATGTTTGGAGTTACACATCACACATAAGCCATAATGTGGCTTTGGCTTACTGTATACGAATAGGACATTATGATTTACTCAGCAAGATTTGGTTTAGCGTGAAGTATGAACCCTGCCAAGGAGCCAATGCTATTCCACTAGAATTATAAACAACTGTCTTCAAATATTCACAAAACATTAAACACTTGGAAGGAAGCAGTGTATCTCTCTTCTGTAATCCTTTTCACCATTCTTTATGTGTAGAAGATTGCTGAGATGCTCCTCTACCCATAAAGGCTTTCCATATAATTTAGAACCCCGATTTAATATCACAAAGGAGTCTTTCCTTTGCAAATTTCCCTCTACATATTGAAGGCAATAAAAGCAATGTTTGGGGTGTTACATCTGCTATCTACGTTATTTAGATATAGAAAGAGTGCTCTTTGGAAATGCTTGATGAGTTCTTATCTTTATTTTCCTTCTTCTCCAATATCTCGGTGATTTTTGTACTTTGTAAGCTCTATACTTACATATCAGCCTTGATGTCAGGAACATGATAGTTGGATCACTGTGAAGGGTCTTGTTCTGAGAATCTTATACTTCAGTAAGGAGTATACCAAACTTTTCTGTTAACTGTTCTACTCTTGTTGTGGAATAAAGGTAGGTATTGGAGAATAAGGTACCCCCTTCATGATTGTATCCCTTAAAACCTTTTGGGCACCAGGGACCAGTTATGTGGAGAGAGGTTTTTCCGCGGACTCAAGTGGGCGTGGTTTTATGTGCTCCCTGCATCCCGCAGATGGCATGCTGCAGTCCAGTATCAGTCCATGGACCAGGGATTGGGGATCCCTGCCTTAAAACACCAAGGAAAAATCTCATTAGCGCTAATTTGTATTATGAATATTAGGCATTGATTAATTCCAATAGGAATTAAGACAGGGCTGAAATTTCGGTATCTTAACTAGGAAACACTTGGTTTAGTTAAAAAAAAGGAGTTAAATGCTAATTTATTTAGGCTTCCTTGTCAAGTACACATTATGTATTTAATGTTACACTAATTTGTATCTTTTATTTTGTAATTTATTCAGTTTTGCAGTTAAAGATATTCCTGCTGACTTCCTTATGAATCACCTGTGTATCTTTATTTTAAGACCTGATTCAATTGCTTATAACACAATTTTCTGATAATTGGAACAGGACTCCTTACAGTAATTGGTTTGTGATAAAAAAAGTGGCTGACCTCACGGAAAACTCCATTTTTGCTTTTCCAGCAGTAAGTCTCCAGCCCTGCATATCCAACTTTGGAATCACATGCAGGAACACAGAGCCTCATGCAGCCAGCAGTTGGCCACTCCATACCTTACCTTCTCCAATGTATGTTCCAACTAAACTCAACTACACTTGTACTGCCTCTGCAACCCAGTTCTTATATCGTTTGTAAGACTTTATTTACATGAATTGGGTGCAACCTCAGTTTCACAGATGGTCACCCTGTGAATGGTATACAGATACATGACTTGGTTTAGCTAAGGGTTTTGCTTTTGACTTTTTTGAGGGAGATTTAAGATAAAAAAGAAATAGCCTGGTGCTCATAATGATTTTTCAGTCTCTTTGCTGCCTTCTTTCTGTAGCCTTCCACTCCCTTGTGGGTTTGGTAACGTCGTGTCTAGTTTTCAGTCTATTAAACTGGGAAGAAAAAGAGGGTACAGACTAAATGATCAATTTGTATTTATTTAACATTTTACTAAATAAAACAATAAAATCTATTGTCTCAAGTTTTGTTTGTCATGGAAGATGAGAGTTTATATCCCTGCTAACAGGTCATGAATTAAGAAAAACAGCTTTTAAAGATGGCTTGTCAAAGTGAACATGATTTTTTTAATGGGCACTTCCATTGAGCCTGAAAAAAATGCAGCTATTTAAGGAGTTGATTCATTACAGTTAATGTGATTCTTAAAGCAGTGGCACCTTAATTTTAAGCTTGCAATGGAACAAAACAAAGTTGCTTTAATGAATGGCAAAGAGGTATTACACCAGCGGTTCTCAACCTGTGGGTCACGACCTCTTTGGTGGTCAAATGACCCTTTCACAGGGGTCGCCTAAGACCATCGGAAAACACGTATTTCTGATGGTCTTAGGAACCTGTCTCGCTTTCAACTCCCCCTAAAATTCTTCATTCAGGCAGGCTTCCAGAGTTCAGCTGGCAGGATGCAGGTAACCCCTCCCCCGTCCTGCCATCTCCCACAGCACTGCGCTGCTCTGTGTCCCGCACCTCAAGCCTCCGTGGCACAGAACCGCTGGCGTCCCCAATGGCCGCTGATGCGCTCCCCGCCGCCGGCGACCATACAAGCCCTGGCAATTGCTCCAGCCAAAGAAGTGGATGGCTGGGAGGCCACCGCGGCACTGATCTTCTGCGCCGGTTAGCTGGTGACCCCCCGAATGTGCAGTTGTGAGCTGGGAGGTCTGGCGACGGAGAACCGCTGTCTTACGCTATTGTGAGGTTCAAAGTGTTTCTTTCAAATCATGTTTAAACTGCACAGGTCCAGTTTTTATATTTTCATGATAGATAATCAGTTGAGTTTTAGAAGCTAAGTAAATGGAGGGCTATTTATCTTGAGAGTTGGAGAAATTTGCCCAGTAGATTTTTAGCCTGCACATAAGCACAACTCATTTACTAACACTGAAGCTGGTTTTCTGTTTTTTTAAATCTGACATAGAGATTTCCCTCTATCCCTTCCTGAATTCCCTTTTGTTAGGGAACCTAATCCCTGTAAGCTTTAATGTTGTGTTCTAACTGCAATATTTTTGGCTCTCTTCTCAACTTAGTTCCTCTTTCCAAATCCCATTTTCCTTTACTACATCCTTATAACTAAGGTATGTGTGAAAAAACTGATTTAGTTATAATACTGTGTCTGCTGTGTTTATTTTTATCTTCCCAACTAGCTAATTGGAGAATTCCCCCCCCCAGTCATATTTTCTTGTTCACAAATCTTAGATTTTTGCCTGCTGTGCTAAAATTATTATATAATTTGTATTTTCCTTTCTAAGTTGTTAACAACATTTGAAAAAAAAAATCATAGCCCTTCAGCAGAATGAGTGAAGAACAACTTCGAAGGACAGCGTGAATAAAAGCTTGGTTTTCTGCATCTCTATCTCCTTGTCAAAACAGTGTTGCATTTGAGAGTGTTTGTTTTGTTTTTGTTTTATCTCAATTACAGCGAACTAAAATGGCTTTTGGGGAAAAAAAATATACGAAGGCTAAACATTTGGTGGCTCAGCTTCCCATGTTGCATATACACACAGCACATTACAAGTACCTGTCATTTTGAAAAGAGTGGCCAGTGGACTGATATGAACCAGGTTGTTATTATTGCCTGTAGTTTGAAGCGAAGTTCTGGGAATAACAGCATCTTGGGGGCAGAATTTTCCATGCCTTCCTAACTTGTGCTTTTATCCTTCCAGCTGCTCTCACAAGTTCAAGGACAGGCAATTTATGATGTCACAGATGATTGATAGACTTCTACTTACCATCATCCCTGGCCAGCAGTGTAATGGGGGCAAATGAAGGATCACCAGTTTCCCAATTATAATTTAGTACTTTATATTTTTGTCTTGCCTTAAATTTAGCACTAATGCATTAATGAAGTAGGAAAACTGAACAAGGATAACTTAACACCCAGAGCTCTTTGTGCAGCAAAAACTACCAGATTTTCCCTCAAGAAAAAATGGGAATAAATTTACTATTTGTTGTTTCAGTCATCATTTAGTTTAGGGTTCTTTAGCAATAAATAACCACACAATTTCAATCAAAGGTTTGAAAAGTAATTTTTAAAAACTTTTATTTTTTTTTAAAAAAAGGGCAAGAAATATGACCAGTTCTCTATATTTTCAACTTGGACTAGATCCAATATTTATATGAGTCCATTTTAAATTAGGATGGAACACTTTAGTCCCATCACTTTTACATTCCAGTTTAATACCAGAAAAATCAGAAGAAACAGTCTAGCAGCAGAAAGTACTGGAGATTCTCCAGAACACAAAGATAAAAAGGAACTGTTAGAAAATTCAAGATACACAATTTACATTTAGTGAGAAATCAGTTTAAATTATATAAATAGTAACTGAAGAATCAACTCCTTGTGATCCAGTGTTTCATAACTATGAACAAGTGCTGGGTAGAAGCTGCTCCCAACACACAATCCAGTACAGCATTAATTAAAAGCACATTATTATAAGGGTTGTGCAATCTTTCGATCAGATTCAGGAGATGTGCTTCAGAATACACAGCAGTACAAATATAAAAACTGCCTGTGACTCAATAAAATAGCTACTTCTATTTCCAGGAGACTTCTGCAGCTACATGATCATGAGGACAATGCTGCTTTAATGAGCAGAAGATGCTTTTGTGCTGAAACATGTCCCAAATCACCTTCTTTTTAATAACATCTGAAGCACTGAAAGCCAAATGATTACCATCTTTAACTTGGAACTCTAGGTTTTTCCATTCAAAGAACAGATATTTGACAGTCATTGCCTAGGCAGCTATACAGATGGCAGTGTGCAGAAGACTTCCAAGGCTTCAAAGATTCTGCTGCCTACAAATTGAAACGGTAGCTCCATCCCTGGAGCAAGGAACTCTTGTAATTTAGGGATGGGAAATATGAAAGGCCTTGGATGAATTTCACCTGCCTCCATGGAGAAGAAAAAGTTTGCTTGGCAGTGCTGAGCATATCCAAATTATAGCTGCACTAAGGTGATTTCATGAGTGCAGAAGTCAAACAGCTTCTGTGGGGCATAACAGCATGACTACCACTTTTAGAGGGTGGAACAATAAAAAGAGACAACAGAAAGAATACTTTACTTCAAAAATGTCTTATTAAATTCTTTGAGACCATCTGCTTGGCGAAGCCTAATTCAAGAACTCAGTATTACGGCGGTGCTTAAAAGTTTGTGAAATCTTGAATTTTGAGTATTTCTGCATAAGCAGGATCGAAAATGTGTTCTAGGTCATCCTACGCACATCCTAAAACTAAAGAAGAACACAAAGAAATGAATCAAAAACATATTTGTTCATTCATAGATTGAGAAAAATGATCCAAATCTACACATTTGTGTGTGGCAAAAGTATATGAAACTCTAGGATGGTCAGTTCATTTGAAGAGACAGAGTCGGGTGGTTAAATCAATGTGATGACAATCAGGTGTGAGCATGGGAAATTCTGCCTTATTTAAAAAACAATTCTATGATCTTCACAGCACAGGGTTGTAGATGTGTGTCAGGGCTCAAAGATTTCTAAAGACCTTCAAAAAACAGTAGTTGATGCTCACCAGGCTGGAAAAGATCACACAACTATTTCCAAAAAGTTTGTACTCCACCAGTCCACTATCGTGCAGATCATATACAAATGGAGGCAATTCAACACTATTGTTACGCTCGCCAGCCAGGAGTTGTTGGCCAAGCATCATCCAAAGAACAAGGTGTGAAATATTCCAGGAAGTCTCAAAGAGGAAACATCTAAGGAACCACAGGCCTCTCTTGCACTGATGAATAGCATGACAGAACACTGGATAGCAGTTTATGTTATGGCAATATTGCAAGAAGAAAGGCGCTACTCTCCAAAAAAACAAAACCCATTGCTGCTTCTCTACAGTTTGTGAAAGACCACATGGATAAATTCAAAGGCTATTGAAAGAATGTGTGGATTGATGAGACCAAAATAGAAACGTTTTTGGCTTGAATGAAAAGTGTTTGGCAAAAGGCAAATGCTGCATTTCAGTAAGGATTTTAACCCATCTCTGAAACACAGTACTGGTATCATGATTTGGGCCTGCTTTACTGCCTCTAGACCAGGATGACTTGCCATCATTGATTGAACTATAAATTCTGAACTATACCACCCAATTCTACAGAAAAATGTCAGGGTATCTGTCCATGAACTGAAGCTCAAGAGAATATGAATCATGCAGCAAGATGATGACTCAAGACATAGGAAGTGTACAACCAAAAACGTGATTAAAGCAGAAGAAATGGTTTGGAAGGGCTAAGAACTTCTGATGTTGTGGAAGATCCAAAATAGGTAACTCATTCAAGGAACCTGCCAATAACCCTAAATTAAACCTATTCCTTGAGGAGGAATGGGCTAAACGTCCACCAGCACAGTGTATAGCACAGATCAATAGTTATTGAAAATGTTTAGCTGCAGTTATTGCTACCCAGGTTTGGATGGTGGACATGATAGTTACTGAAAGCAAAGATTTGTACTCATTTAAATATGTGGCTTTGGATCACTTTCCCCAATAAGTCAATAAATCTGTATTATATTTTGATTCATTCAATTGGTTCTGTCTTGTTTTAGGACTTGGGTGGAGAACAAATAACATCTTAAGGTCATTTTTACACAGAACTATTGAAAATTCAAAAGAGTTCACAATTTTTTAAGCATCACTGTAGATGGGCCTTTATGCCATATATTCTCAGCAAAATATGTAGTGTGAATTTCTTTTCATTTAATCCTTTCCCCCCACATGACATATGGTTCTTGTTTTAGAATATGATTAAGCACAAAAAGCTCTTCAATCAATATGGCCATAATTAAACAGATAACTAAGAAACACAGAATAGTTTCTCTTGCAAATGCTAAGAAATATTCAGAGAAAAGTAGGAAGAGAAAAAGATCAACATCAACATTAAATGAATTGTCTTGCTTCAAATTTGATTTTCAGGGAATTGCCAAAACAAGGAGAAAGGGGATGAGGCTAGAAATAAGATCAAACCAGAGGTTTATCTGAGGGGCTCTTGGTGCTCTCTGAGCCTGACTGTTTTCTTACAGATGTTTTATTATCCAAACTAGGTAACATCACCAGATGTTTATCTAGTTTCCCCATTCAGTTTCCATAGTGGCCAATTGATATGTATAAAAAAGAAAAAGGAAAATTAAAGAGCAGAACAGCACCCCCCTAACTTGTGTTACCCAGCAACAAGTTTTAGAAGTAGATTGCTTCTGAAGGTCACTTAACAGTCCAAACCAATTATAATACTCAGAAGTCTGGTGGACTCCCTTCAACCGAAGACTAAATAATCATCTGTTTAATTGGACTCCTGCACTGAACAAGACAGCCCCTTTCAGCTTTATGATTGGAACCATTAGGACCTCTTCTCTTACAAAATACATTAAGAACAAAGGCTAGAGAACAATGGCAAAGAGAAGACACTGTAGAAAACAGTAATGGCAGCCCTTGCTATTTGATAGACAGGAAAAGGAGAAATGCTACAATTATGAACAAAAATGTTCCTTTCCATTGTTGAATGTAGGTGAACACAAGCACTATATTAAAACAGTGCACATGAGAAAGGGAAAGCACTTAAGCCTCTTTTTCTCTGACTTCTTCTTAATCTGGGAACAATCTGTAAAAAGAGGCAGATGCATAGAAATGTAATTTGCCTAGTTAATCTGAGAATAGAATTTGCCACAAAATATAGCCCTGAACAACAGCCGTGGCTAAAATTCCATTCACAATCTAGGCATGGCCGTACCATTAGGTCACCATAGCTAGAAGGATGTGGGCTTCTGATGTGAGTCTCTCCAAGAAGTCTGAGCCTCATCGATTTGCAGGTCGCACGGTCCTTTGGTATTCTGGTTGCCATTCATAAACTTCTCTCCGCAGTGAGGTATTTTAGTGCTGCTGCACCATACTTGCGGGACAGGTCCTGATGGAATTCTTCCCTCAAGATCTGGAGGCAGTTCCGATAGCTAGCACTCTGGCGGAATTTGGAGATGTCAAAACTAGGAGCGTGAGGCATATGGATCATGAAGGCGTTGGGCAGGACAAGCAGCTCATACTCCTGTGAAAAAGCAGGAAGTGGCTGACCGGAAGCCATTCCCTTCAACCCTGGTCTTCCTCAACAAAAAGGACAAACAGTGGGTCGTTCCAAAACCACCTACTCACCTGAGCATCAAGCTCCATGATGTGAGACACCTTGTTCCACCCAAAGCCTACAAACCGCTGGTCATAGAGGGGACAATCACGCCTTACTACAACGTAAGGCTCAAACTGTGGTTGCCATTCCACTCGATACGGCACTGTGGCTGTCCGCCATTTGGCATAATCTGTTGGAGCATGGCCCTGGGGCCACACATGATACCTGTACACAAAAATATACATCACTGGTGAAACACTAAATGAAAATACTTCGATCTGCATCTGGTTCCTATACTAAAAACTTAGAAACCGAAAAACAAGCTCAGATTAACCAGACTTCCTTATTACTTCTATCAAAAGTCACACTTCTTAGATTGTCACAAGATATTATGTTCATTTGAAATAATAGGAAATACTTGTAGCTCGGGTTTTAGATTTTGGCAGTGGTTTGCTCTCCAAGTTTATTTCAATTTAGTTTCTGAATGTTTCATTATCAGACTAGGTAACGTTCCCAGCAGAATTTTCTTGTCCTATTCCTCTTTAGCTTATGTATGTTTTGTGTGCCAGTGTGGTCAATTAGTCGTGTGACTGGTTGTTCATTTGGAGCTTTATTTAAATTCTAAGCAACTGATTGGTTCTCTTGTTGATTGGTTGTTCGAATGGTGTGGTTTCTTATGTATGCATGTGCTGGATCTAAATCAATATGCTTGTTAATTGCTTCTTAATTCCTAGTTCAACCTACTACCCCCAAACCAAACAAATTGGCATTGTGCTGCTGAAGCTCAGACATTTCCCACTGAATTTCAGCAGGAGAATTCTGATTTCTTCTGGGGTTTCACAACGATTTGAGAGTAAAGATGGAAATGTTTTCCAAGCAAACGTCAGATGATAATGGGACTTGGAGCAAAGATGCTAATCACCTGATCATTTAGAATGATTTGGATTGTGTGGGAGAAGCAGCCTTTCTTATAGCCACAGATGTTACAAACGAAACCAGCCATTTTTGTTATGCCCAGAAAGAAATGGGAGTAATATGGGAGGGAGATGGGAGACCCAAACAAATTAACATATTCTAGAGTACCAATGGAAACCAAGCTATTAGCCGATTTATTTCACTATAAAGAAAGAAAGGCAATGGAAGCAGAGCAGTAAGAGATTTGGCGGGGGAGGGAAGGGACAGAAATTGGGAAGAGAAAATGGTGCAAAATAAAGAACAGAAATGGTTATAAATGCTCTGAGAAACGCAAAGCAAGAAACAGTCATGAGAAATTAAAAAAATATATATCTGAATGGAAATGGTGCCAAAAAAATGGGAGAGTTGAACATAAGTAGACCTAGGAGAAGAGGAAATATATGTATAACCAGTATTGAATTCATCTATCAGTTTCAAATAACCAGTTAAATCTTGTCCCAAAGATGCTTTTTAACGAGGCAACTGGACTTTCTTGTTTTTCTTTGAAGACATTGTGCTTCCCACCTGAAGAAGCTTCTTGGATGAGAAGCGAAACATCTTCAAAGAAAAACAAAGAAAGTCCAGTTGCCTCATGTAAAAGCATCTTTGGAACCATGATCTGGATGACTGAGACTCTCCATTGACGTTCAGCTAAATCTTGGTGCATAAGTTACTAGAGAGAATTGTGAAGCTGGTTATGCCCTTTAGATGGTCCAGCAAACTTTGGTTCTTGAAAATGGATCTTTTCTGATCAGCACTTACCTGAAAGTATAGAGGGAGCCCATGTCCAGCATGGTGAGAAGCTCCGCTTTTGATTTGGGAAAGTTGAGACGGTAATGCAGAGTCTCAAACGCAGGCACTATGAGGGCTACCTTCTTTGGGGGCAGCTCCAGCTGCATGATGGAGGACCTGGAGACAAATGCCAGCAGAACATTTTGAGATTTCAACACTTTGGGGGTATTAGGACTGACATATTTCTTAACCTAAGGAATACATTAGAATAAAAATAATATAGGCTTATGGACTCCTCCTGGGTCAGTATGGCCAACAGAGACAACTGCAACATCAGTGGAAAGAGAAATGAAGAAGGCAACAGTTTCCTCACAATGAAGGAACTTGACACCAGCTAAAGGGGAGAACTAAGACCTATGTGGAGGGACACTGAAGAAAAGACTGGGCATTTCACAAATTCTTAGATCTTTGGGAGACTCAGTTGAAAACTATATTGCTGCCTTGATCCACTTTGGACCTCAAGAAGACATACCTGAGATAATCATAGAGGCCATACATAGGCAGGAAATCAATGTCCATCAGAAAAACGTGGGAGGTCTGTGCATTTTTCAGGGCTATGTTGCGCAAAAAGTTGACTGGGTAAAACTGCCCTTCCTTGTATACAATGTGATAGGCAACATTCTGACGGTTACTCAGCACCTCTGATGCCTGAGCATAGCGTAGAAACTGCTGGGCCTCTGCATCAGACATGTACAAAGCCAGGCTAATGGGACCTGTCCAATGTTTACATATCGCCTCCAGCATCTGCAACCTGCAATCAATAACAAAAATTGAGAGCATCACATATTATCATTAGTCAACAAAAAGCTATAGAGCTCAGACATTCCAGACCCCAAACCCTTCTAAAATACAATTTAAATGCTCATTAGTTCCCAAATGTAATTTTGGTGATGTTCCTTCGCTCCATTTTTAAAGTTTTGTTTTCTTCCATTTCTACTGTTTTGCCAACACCATACCAGCTCTTGTCTACATTCAAGTATAAAAATAACAGGAATCTTAGAAATAGGTATTTCAGGAATGATCATATTATGACAAGAACGAGGACTTGCGTTCAGACAATGAGATTTTCTGTGATATTCCAAAAAAGCGGAATCAGCACTATATTCTAAGACCAAATACTATTAATAAATTGTCCTTGTTTTAATATTAATATTTGATCTTTGATTTTGACACGTACACAAATTTATACAATCTGTCTGGAGAGAATTGATTTTGTGCAGCCTCCATTTCAGTATTAAAACATGCTCTTTAAACATGTTCTCCATCCAATTTGCACCTCTAAACTCATGCAGACCTTTTGTTAATTGGATCTAATAATTTCCTTCCATAATTGACTCTGTCTAGAAAACAGATTACTTTACAATTTTGGGTCAAGTTAAGAAGGCAAAGCTACAATCTCAGCATTTCCTAACAAAACATTTTAAGGATGCCTCAATTCAAGAAGAGCACATCTAATACAGAGGAAGGGAGTTAAAAGAAGCATCAAATAGGTGAAGCAAAAATATGATAAGGTGCAGGCCCTCTACTCAGTTCAGGATTCAGGAATGGGGAAAATTAATTCCTCTCCTAACCACTGAGATCCTACCATGCTTTCCTAATACCAAACTGGTTGATCTTGGGAACCAATGTGGCACTCCTTAACTAGGCTTGTGGGGCAGGGGAAATATGCAGACTGAACAGCTGACCTGTGGCTGGTTGTAGAATAGTTACCCCTAAACTCTCATACTGTAGATCAGTGGTTCTTAACCTTTTTGAAAGAATCGTCCCCTTGAGCCAATGCGGAAGTTGTCATCGCCCTCCTCCCCTAACATAACCTCTCAATCACAACATAGGAAATAATTCTTCAATTTATGCAAACACTTCTTTTGTTTTCTTTAAAATTGTCATCAGGACATATCGATGCAAATAATTTATTTCCAGTCTTTTTCCCATATCTCAACTGTGTGAAAAATGTTGGTGCCACCTGTCACTTTATTCCCAAACTTCGTGATACATGTATTTTATTATTATCTTATTTATTCAAGACACTTAAATGTAATGACCACTGAAAACAAAATTCAATTGCAAGAAAGTGAAATGTCTGAAAAGAAAAACAGTAACATTTAATGATTGAATTACAAGTGAAATTTAAGACACAAAAAGAAATATAAAAAGGCATAAGAACAAACTGCAATGCAGGAGCTAAGAATTTCAAGACGAAAACTCTGAAACTAAATTAAGATTCGAGGAAAGTATATATAGTCACGCACACTCTAAAAAGGATTAAAAAGACACAAACTGGAACATGAAATCCAAAGCGCTCCCCCCCCATCACTGCTCATTCTGGCCAATGGCGCACTACTGTATGGGTAGAGGCTGCTGCGCAAAGCGCATGAAGATAAGCGATGCGTATTCACATATGTACAGTGTTCTGTACTGAAGCTAGCTGGAGGAACATTTGAAAACACAATTCAATCCACTAATAGCGAGCGATCTGATGTTTTTGTACGACAGATATACAGCGATTCACTGTATGAAAAAGTCTCAAAAGTGTCCCCAAAACGTCTCGCTCCATCGCCCCCATATCGCCCCCTTTTTGTTCCTTCGCCCCCGCGTCACCCCTTTTCGTTCCATTGCCCCCCTGAAAAATGAAATCGCCCCCTGGGGGGCAATATCGCCCAGGTTAAGAACCACTGCTATAGATGATCTGGTGTCCTTTGACAATGGGACATGCAAAAGTAAAAAGGAACCTTGGAAATATTGCAGGCAAAATCATTTAGCATCTTGCCTTCCCTTATGATGGAAATACAAAATGGCCGATGTAGGCCTCCCAGATGATCTGTCAACTGGGCACAGGCGAGATCTATCTTTTTATCAAGACTTTCACTTTATGGACTATAGCTGTACTCTGATGGTACCTGAGGTATGACATTCTATCAAAGAAGGAAGGAAACAATAAGGTCTAGATATTTCAATTTAAGGTTTACGTATCTTTCTCTCCAAGGTTTTTTTTTAAAAAAATAATACTGGATTGCAACTCTTGATAGAACCCCTCTGGTTTTCATCTTTACCAGATACTGGTCACGTCATGTTAACTGAATGATTCTCAGTAAGCATGAGTGCTTATAAAACAGTGTTATTAAAAAAAATTGAAAAGCTGAATACTATTATGTTTTCCCATATACTAAGATAATAGTAAATTTTCTCACTTTTAAGCCCAAATTGCCATATGAAAGCACCACAATTTGATAGAATTCCAGTTCTACAGCAATGAAAGGAACACCTGAAAGAGCCATGTTGCCAGACCCTTCTGTTCCCATCCCCCGGTACCTGTCCATGGACAGCTGAGCTATGAGAGTTACATCTATTTCATCAACCGACTCTGAAAAAGCATACTGCAGGAAGAAGAGATGGACACGGTGCTGAATAAGGCTTTGCCTTCGAAAATCATAGCAAGGATCGTCTTCATCCAGCTCTTCCAGAGCTTGCTGGAGCTAAAATTTACATAGGAGTGTATTTGAGACACAGAAGGAGATTTCAAAATAAAACAGTTGGTCAAGAATGACATGTAGCCACTGTGCATCCTAAATATGCTATTGACTGTGGCACAGGTGAACAATCAAGGAACTTCAAATGGCCCTCTGGTACTGCCCAGGTAATTCAGAAGGTCCTGCTCATTTTCCCTCATTAATCACCCAATAGCTTGGCAGCAGTGATCAAGACAATGCATTTGTGGAGGGAGGGGGGTTAATCTAGATTAACACAAGCCTTGTGTGATAGTTTCCTCCCAATAATCCCTATGGTTTCACATATGCAGATTAAATTAGTTTAATAATAATAATAATAATAATAATAATAATAATAATAATAAAGTTGGAAGGGACCTTGGAGGTCATCAAGTCCAACCCCCTGCTCAGGCAGGTAACCCTATCCCATTTCGGACAAATGGCTGTCCAGTTTCTTCTTAAAAACTTCCAGTGTTGGAGCATTCACCGCTTCTGGAGGCAGGTTGTTCCACTGGTTAATTGTTCTAACTGTCAGGAAGTTTCTCCTTAGTTCTGGGTTGCTTCTCTCCTTGATTAGTTTCCATCCGTTGCTTCTTGGTCTGCTTTCAAGTGCTTTGGAGAATAGCTTGACTCCCTCTTTTTTGTGGCAGCCCCTGAGATATTGAAACACTGCTATCATGTCCCCCCTCGTCCTTCTCTTCATTAAACTAGACATACCCAATTCCAGCAACCGTTCCTTATATGCTTTAGCCTCCAGTCCCCTAATCATCTTTGTTGAATGAATTACAAGTCTCTCAATTTCAGACATAAGAAGGAAGAAGAAGACCAGAAAGCCTCTCACCTGGCCACTGGGCAAGCTGGCACAGCCAAACAGCTCTCTGCGCAGCAAGTTGCCATCATACTCTAAGAAAGTCAAATAAAGGTTCCGAAAGAATTCCACATGCTTATTTTTGACTCGCAACTTCTTGGGAGAGTTCCAGTGAATCACCTGAGGACAGAAAGCTGAAGTAACCAATGCTAACGCCTTCGGCAATAGGCAGGCCTTCCCAGCAATTCTTTTACCTAAACTACAGAATGCTGAAAGTTCCAACAAGACAGCAATCCAAGATTTTCCCAATGTTACCAAAGGAGATCAGCAAAGACTCAGCCAGGGAGGCACTGCTCACCTTAAGATCAGACACCTCCGTGTAGCACTGCTCTGAACGGGTATGGTCAGAGAGTTGCACATTCCAGAAGCAAGGGAGCCGGTACACAAGAGTTGGTTTTTGTTTAATCACCGCGTTAAAGATGTCCTAGAAGAGAGATTGCAGTTGGCACACTGGGCACTCTGGAAGAGGAGAAAGCTCCAGGATAAAAGCAAGTGTGGAGTCACATCAGAAGGAAACAAATTAGTGTTCGTCAAATGGCAACATCTAATCTCTCTCTGCCTACGTCGAAATAAAAGGCACATTGTGGGCCTAGACTAAAAAGGCAGGAAGGCACAAAAAAACAAGAAGACTCGCCTGATCTGCTAGTGAGGTGGAGAGCATGTTCATGAGCTCTTGCTCGGCTGTCACCCGCCACAACTGCTCCCAACCAAGGTGGCGCAAACGGTCCAGCAGCAACAAGATCACCCCTATGGAAGAGAAGACAAAAACTCAGGCCTGGAAGATGTTCTTCATAATATGAAGGGGCTTCTCTGAGATTGCTCAATCTTTCTGGCTTCCCAGATTTATCCAGATCACGATGTCATATCATTCATTTGTTTACCAAAATATCTCTATGCCCGGACACCAGACCCACTTACTAAGGTAACATTATCAGGGACCGCAGAAAACCCAGCTGACTGTCCGAGCAGTGGGAGAATTTGTAGGCAGAATTACTGGATAAAATAATGATTCTCCTCTTTCTCTTGCCTCTTAATCCCCATTTATCATGTATCTCCAATAGTCTTTCCCAACGGACATGGAGAACACAACTGAAAGGATAAACTATAGGTAGTTCCTCATTTAATGTCTGATGGTTTACCCATCGTTCACAGTTATGATGAAAATGTAACTTTACAACCAGTCCTCACATTTATGACCTCCACAGGTGCATAAAGCAAAGAAAGCTGAAGTAAGAGCATAAGATAGTTATGATCTCACTTAAGAGATTGCTTCACTTAAAAACCAAATTGTCAGTCCAACTGTAGTTGTTAAATGAGGACTATCTAAACAAGTAATACAAAGTTCACTTCTGGGATGTCTATACATCTATCCCAAAGAATTGGCTTGCATTTCTTTATGAAATTTAATAGTACGAAACAAATTAAGCCTTGCCAGCTCACCTAAATCATCACTGCTTCGTTGTAGCCTTAAAATAAAAATAGTTGATATGGTAATTGTCCCAGCTGAATAGTCATATATGTGTTGTGGAGTGTACCTGTATTGAAGCCACGATCCAATGCTGGCCATGGTTTATGGTTCTTCCAGAGATTCCCCAGGTACCAATCACTTTGGTTTTCCACTAGTCCAATCACTTGTTTATCTGGATTAAAGATGACACCAATCAGATCCAGTGCAAGGTGCTGACTTTCCCCATTCTCAAGATAAGATCCCAGCTCACTATACTAGATCCCAATAATTGATTCTCCCATTCCTATTTTCTAACAATCTGAAAAGCAGCACAACTGGATAGATTAGAAAACAAATCCATATTATGTCACATTCCCATAAACCTGCTCAAACCACTAGGCCACAGAAGTAGTTCTCACTTTATGATTCTTCATTCAGCAGCTGTTCAAAATTACAACAGCACTTAAAAAAGTGAGTTACGACTTGAACCCCAAGGTTACAGCTGTTACATACAGTGCTGGGACTCCATTGTTAAAACAATGTGGCCGTGTGATACTGAACGTGTTGACCAGAAAATTCTGGTTCCAATTGTGGTTGTAAGTCGAGGACTACGTAGATTTTAAATGACTTACCAGAGCAGATAACCAGATGATATAAACCAGATTGGCTAGTTGGGAATCCTGAACAGAACACTAATCTATCTAGACAGCATCAGATTAGGGAAGAACAGTCTGAATGGTTGATCTCAACAAACTGTTGAACAACTTGTAGCAGCTATATTGGCTCTATGTATGTATGTATGTATGATGTATGTATGTATGTATGTACGTACATCATGTACATCATGTAGGGCCACAGCTTCCGTTCTGAGAAGATCTGGAAAAAATCGTCCCATCTCTAACTTACCTGAGAACTTCCCAAAAACAGCCCAGAGCTCAGCAATGTCAGTAGCAAATGTGATGTCAGTATCAAGGACGATGACCTTGGAAAGGTCAGAGGGCAAAGCTTTAGTGAGTGTCAGCTTCATCAATCCATAGATTCCCGAGTAATGTTTGTTGGGGATCCAGGAAATGTCTGGCTGTAGCAAGAAGAGAGAAAGACACTGAGGAATAAAATGGCAAGATCACATGCGTAAGCTATGGACAAGGTCAACCTCTAATCATAATGCTTCTATAGCTCATGACTAATGAAATTCTATTTAACACAGGAATGCAACTCTCTGTGATCCAGAGCCACAAATGAGAGTTGTAGAGATGCTTGCAAAGATTTTCAACAAACATGGAAAGGCAGAAGCCCCATACAAAGACACTTTACCTGATTTACTTTTTATATCTACAGCAACATTTACGAACATACGGAAAACCTTTTTGATTCAGCAAAATACATTGTTTAAGAAAGATACTGGGCAAAGGAAAAAGACTAAAGTGGAAACCAAGAAAATAGATGATGGGACTTACCAGAGAAAATACTTAAAAAAGAAACATTTGTTTGAATATGGTTAAAGAAATAGAAACGTTTTGGAATATATATGTCATTCTAAGAGGGATGAATTCCCTAAATAATATAGTATGCTTTTTTCCCTTTTTTGTTCCCTTTTTTGATATGAGTAATATAAAAAAGGAAATGTTTTAGATACTTAAATGTGATTGAATTTAAGAAAATTATAATGAATAAAAAATGTTTTGAATAAGAGTTAAAGAACTAGATGACTAGATGTAGTAAATGGAATGTTTAAAGATTAAACATATTTTTAATTATGGTTAAAAAGAATAAGAAATTTAGGAAATAAATATATATTAGCTTAGGAGGGATATATATTTTGAGTAGTGTGTTATTTTTTATATTTCTTTACTCTTGCTCTGTTTTCTTTTTTTTCTTCATTGTTTTATCTATTCCTTAAGAAATATAAAAGTGTGAGATGGTTCATATGGAAAAATAGAGTTAAATTTTTTTAATGTAATTAATTTTTGAGAAAATCTTAACCAGTAAGAGTACCTAGAATTTGATGGGAGAAACAAACTAAAATAAGGACTGTAACAGGATCTATGGTAAGGCAACCAGAATGATTGGATAGAAAAGAAATATCATATCAATGTGATTATTATTTTTAGGAATATTGGGGAAAATTATATATTTAATTGTTATCTATCAAAACAATAAGAATTGTATTAACTCAATGTTTGCAAAAGAGGATATTTTGGGAAAAGAGGAAATCAACCAAAACCATTATGTGGATTATGGATTATAGAAATCAATTGTTAATGATTGTTTTATAAATGTAACCCAGACAACACACTGTTCACTAATTATTAAGTGATTGGTGTTTTTTTAAAAAAAATCAATAAAATATATTACAAAAGAAAAATAATAATAATAAAAGCCACCAATTCCTGTTACGCAACTGTTTTCCCAACTATAAAGACAAAACTTTGCTAAAAAGAATCTGCTTTAGCATGTTCCTGGATCGCTCATGCAGTTATCTTCTGTCAATTGTTGGTAAAATGTAAAAGAGGCAGAGGATGGCGCTTTGGTTTTTTATTTTACGGTGGAAAAGATCTACAGGTGGTCCTCAAGTTACTACAATTGAGCCCAACATTTCTGTTGCTAAGTGAGACAGTTGTTAAGTGAATTTTTCCCCAAGTTATGACCATTCTTGCCACAGTTGTTAAGTGAATCACTGAAGTTGTTAAATGAGTAACACGGTTGTTAAGTGAATCTGGCTTCCCCCAGTGTCTTTGCTTGTCAAAAAGTTACAAAAGGGGATCACAAGACTCTTGGACACTGCAATCTTCATAAATATGAGTCAGTTGCCAAGTGTCTGAATTTTGATCGTGTGACCATGGGGATGCCGCAAGGGTTGTCAAGGGTGAAAAAGTCATAAGTCGCTTTTTTCAGGGCCATTTTAACTTTGAACGGTCACTAAATAAACTACTGTAAGTTAAGGACTACCTGCAATACCATCAATAAAGCAGCCCCTTCGGTAGCACCAGAATAAAAATATTCATGTCCCTAAATCCCTTAACTTTAGCCTACCCCTGGCCTAGTTCCTTGTAGTTCTATTTGATTATGAAGAACAACACCTATATGGCTGTGGCTAAGAAATTAAAGTAGAACATTTAGGGTCACCTATGGGTGTCAAATATCATGTTATGCGCCTGGACAACTTCATAGCTCTCCTGAATTGAACTGCTCAAGCCAGCGTTTTAATTTTCTGCCCTTGTTTTAGTTTGCCAAGGAGATTAATCTTCTTAGAAGTCCTGAATTGCAGAATGGTATTCTATGGATATGAATTATTTCAACTTTATATTCCCGGATGGCTGACTGCTGCAGCCTTGACATTTATTCATTATACCCCGTCTTGAAGACAATTCATTATCGTTTGGATCCAAGATCCAGCTCTCTTGCAATAATGGAAATGATTTTCGCTGCAACAATGTAACTTTTCTCCACTGACAAAGAGACAGGCCTAGCATCCCTTCCCCCTGCAACTGATGAATGCCAGCTTATCCAGACTTCCAAACACGCCCTTTGGTCAACGGCTCTCCAATGTGAGACTGGCTAGAAATGTTAAGAGGCTTGTGCATTTAGGGTCCAGGCAGAAGAAGAACCCAATCTGGCAGAGCTCCAGCATAATTAGCAAGATTCCAGCCCCATGGGATTATGGCATGCACACCTATGGCTGGATCGCTCTCTGGGTGGGGCAAGGAGATCTAAGAGCACAATCTTGGTTTGGGCACCAAAGCAGGCACGCCCATGTTTAGATTGCCGTTTGGACAAATCTGCAGGGAGAAGGGCTAGAGCAGTGTTTCTCAACCTTGACCATTTTAAGGCACGTGGACTTCAACTCCCAGAATTCCACAGCCAGCAATGCTGGCTGTGGAATTCTGGGAGTTGAAGTCCACATGCCTTAAAATGGTCAAGGTTGAGAAACACTGGGCTAGAGTGCATTCCCACAGGGTGTTAGCCATGGAACATAAGATTTACTTTTTGAGGATGGGGAAAGTATCTATTCTACGGCCAGATGTCGCCCCAATGATATTATTTATTTGGTTAGTGGAGCAACTTAATTAAGTTCAATCCATTCAAATAGTGACCCAGATTCCCACCCATCCCTCAAAAAACAACAGAAAAAAGAGCAAATGGGATAAGCATTTTTTAAAAAAAAGAGTGGGACATTCAAAAGACTGGGTGGAGGCAGGGGCAACTCACGTATGGATTTCCTTCTCCTACCTTCAAGTCATCAGCATTGTAAAAGCTAACTTGAACTGAGGGCACCATCCAGGTCTGGAAGACCGTCTGTAGTATCTGTCGGGCCACTGAGTCTGTGATGAGATGGAAGTGGAGAGGATTCTTCCTATCAAATGGGAATAAAGTTTATGCTCACAAGAAATGGGAGCAAAACATGTAAGAAAACAGTCCTATCCCACTCTCCAAATATTTTTCATCATCATCAGATGATAGCATGACAGTTTACAAACCCGAGACTCACTATAGTCCCATCTACTCTCCTGGGTAAAGCAAGGTAGGGCAGAGTAGACTGCGTAAACGGTTGAAGATTAAATCCAAATTTCCCCTGCTTTTCATCTTTTCTCCTATATCCAGAACTGCAGCTTGGAAACCAAGGTGGAGAACAGCACCACATTTGAATCCCCCCAAATTCTAAAGACTGAAAAGAGCCAAAAACGTTAAGAGCTACTGAACAACATAATAACAACACTTGCCCCTTCACGTTCAGGTTACCTGTGGAAGAGGATCGATTTCACCAAGGTAACTACATCCCGGCTTGCATTGTATCCAGCACAAACAATGGCAACATGGAGGAGCTGTTCAGAAACACAAACAAACATCAAGCCATTCAAAATTATTTTCCACTTTCTTCTCCTTTACAGATCAAGCCATCAGAAGTTACTGCACCCATCATTCTATAGCAGGCATGTCAATCTCGCAATGTCACATGACATCGCGCAATGTATCGGGACTTTTTCCCCATTGCGCGGTTTTGGTGTGATGCATCCAGCCCACTAGTTGGCAGTTTGACATGCCTGTTCTATAGGCTCCTGTCTATTTTGTTCCCATCAGTAATAAACCCTTAAAGAACCAAACAGAGTTCAGACACAAATGGGAAGCCAGATACAAACTAATAAGGGGTTGGATTAGAGATGTCTAAGGTTGCTTCCAATTCTGTCATTCTGTTAATACTATTTCTTTGCCTGCACTTATTTTGTGGCCCCATGAAGCCTCCTCCAGATTCAACTGTTGAAAATTGGAATCATTTTAGAGGTCACTTTGAATCCAGAAACACATCTCAACACTGGCATAAAGTAGGTTTTACGTATTTTTTTAAAAAACAAAGTTACCTACCCAAAAATAAGGGAGAGAGAAACAGGGAGTCCTCACCCTACCCAAGGGCGTGATGTGACCCTCTCTATTTTCCTCTTTGCTTTGACTACCGTGACCCTCGCATACCTCAAAGTTAACAATTATCCCACGTTACTAGAAGGCTGCCAACTTCTTGCTCTTGTGAATCAGAGCACAAATACTTCTGCCAAGTAAATATCACAGTACTTTTAAGCAAAAGGGAGCCAGAAAGAGAACACTATGAGTATGTTCAATAGTTTAGGGAACATAATTAATCAAGGAGATTGGACCACAGTATGCCTCTTCTTGTCACTACTAAATCTTCCCTAATTTGGGCAGACTTCTTTGTTCATGAACAAGCAGTCCACAACATGGACTTGATAATGAGTTCTCATCGTTACCTCACACTTCTGAACCATCCTCTGTTTAGGACAACCACTATAGTTGCTCCTTCCTTCCTGCTCTTTGATGAACTGTAATCCCTGCTGGCTGAAGTCCATTCTACCCGGGGTTTCCTCCTGTGCCTGAGAGTGGCTGAGCTGCAGCTTCAACAGTTGGTTTTCCTCTTCCATTTTTCGCACCTGGGATGCCAAGGCTTCACGGTCAAGGTATTGACTTGACTGTTCCCCAAAGCAAGGGGGTAGCATAAGGGAACATCCATCTATAGAAGAAATCCCCAAAAGTGTAAATAGGAGAATGGGAAGCACTACATCTCCCACCACTGGGCCCCCGTGTCATGTCATGAAACCAGAATAAGAAAGAAGGTTAAAGGCAAATCATAGCAGGATCAAATAATTAAAATATTCTCTTTTTTCCCATTGCTTTGTAATTTACTAGTTTCCTTACCATTCCCTATAAGCTGTCTCTTTTTTGTTATGTTTTAAAGACTTCAATGCTTAAAAATGGTGATTATTACGAAAGGGGGGGGAATATCAAGCTGAATGTTCAAGGAAACCCATAATCCATATCATGTTAAAAATATAGAAACCTTCTCTAGCCTGACATCTTCCAGATTTCAGATTTTAAATTCTGTAAGTCCCAGTCAATGCATAAGAAAACAGGGCAGACTTTGTCCAAAGATTTCAAATGCTATCAGGTCTATGCTCACTATAATCCATTCATGCACCCGGGCCCATTTTTAGGAACCGCCTTCTCCCATTCCAACTCCAAGTTACCCATAAAGAGGTAAAGCCATGAGATGAGGAAAACCAGAGTCACTGTGGCAAGCAGCAGCTTCAGCTTCACACGCCAAGGACACAGCATGATGGTGGCAAAGGTCAGGTAGGCAGACCTAGCCTCACTGGAGCCAGCATTCTCTAGCCTGCAACATAAAGGAACACATGAAGTGCTACCAGCATCCTTCAACCCAAGGAATCTCCCTTAGTTGTAAAATTGATATGAGGACTTTCCAGAGCCCAGGCCACAACAGTTGCTAAGACACCTCCTTCACAAGAACAAGCATTCCATATTTAGTTTTGATGAGCATGAATGCATCCCAACTCTACTGGCACCCAACACTGCTACTTAAATCTATTCAGCGACCAGATGGCTTGAGTCACTGTCTCTTTCTAACAGCAGTTTCATCAAGTCTCCAAATAGCCACATTTGCTTCATGCAGAGACTGAGCTGATGGTCATCAAGAGTGATAATATGGTTCATGATTAATGACAGCAACTGACAATCACAGTTATAGAACACCAGCAAGCATCTTTTGCCTCATCAGTCAAGCAGTAGCTGGAAAAATAGTAAAGCTACTTTTTCTTTAACAGTTTCCTGAGTTTGTGGATAATGGCAAATTAAATCTGCAGGATGCAAGCAAAATCCTAATGAAAGGAAAGAGGGCGATGCACACATCAGAAATTACCCCAAAGAAGTGTTTGGGATCTCAAACTGTGGAAGGGCAGCACTTCTGCTATTCATTAGATTAGATAGATATTTTCCGGCTTCTGCATCAGAAGTTCATGCAGCTCTTTAAGCAGACACATTTTTCTTCTTGGGCTGGTACAGAAGACTTGAACAAAGATTCCTTTCTTATAAAACATCAGAAAGGTGCTTTTGAAATATACGAACAGCCCTAGAATGCAGCCCCTTTAAGAGCAACTAAGTCACCCCTCTGTACTGGATGTAATACTGTAAGAAGCCTTATCAACGATCAATACCCAATGTGATTGGTATGCTGTTAAAAATAACACTCATCAACAGACAGAAACGTATTTTATCGTTAGCTATTCTTTTTATTTGCAATCCTTATAACCTGCAGAGTCCTTGATGGTGGTGTCTATTTTCTTTTTCTTTTTTTACAAATTTTATTTATAATACAGTTAAAAAAACAGACATTGGATTTAACGTGACATTCCAGTATATACATTCTTATCAGATTATTCCACTTTTTACAATCAATTCTTCATCTCTACATATACATCTAAGTTTTATATACAATTCTTATTCTAAAATAACATATATTTCTATTTTAACGTTCATCTTTAATCCCAACCATCCTCTTCGAATTCCTCCAGCGGTAAAATTTATCCCAGGTTTCATAATAAACTGATCCACATTTGTCTTTTAATATCATTGTGAGCCTGTCCATTTCCGCACATGCTAATATTTTATGTATTAACTCTTCCTCTGTGGGAATTTCCTTGCTCTTCCATTTTTGCGCAAAAGCAAGCCTAGCTGCAGTCAGGATGTGTAGCAGCAGGTAGATTGTTCCCTTGTCTTATTTTTCTGTCGTTATTCCCAACAAGAAGAGTTCAGGTTTTAACTCTAAGTCCAGTGTTAATATATCCCTCAACCAGTTTCGTGTCCTGTTCCAATACGATGGTGGTGTCTATTTTCACCCTTTCTCTCACACAAAATATCTGAATTGAGCTGCTTCTTACTGTTCTGGAATACACCCCCCCCCTCCAAGGGATCCACTTCCCTTCTACGTTCCATCACAGTACTATGGTGAACAAAGCCATTTCGAAGTGTGGTTTTCGCATTTAAAGCCCTCTATGGCTTCGGATCCAGTTACTTTTGGGACCATCTTTCCACAGTTATCCCAAAGATGCTTTTTCAAAAGGCAACTGGATTTTGTTTTTTTCCTTGAACAAGTTTCATTTCTCATCCAAGAAGCTTCTTCAGTTCAGTTCAATCAGAACTGAAGAAGCTTCTTGAATGAGAAGCCAAATGTCCTCAAGGGAAAAAACAAAGTCCAGTTGCCGTTTGAAAAAGCACTTTTGGGACAACCATGACCTGGATGACTGAGAATCTTCATAGGCTTTCTGCAGTTACTTTTCCCCATCCTGTTCAATCTGGTAGGAGGGACATGGTCAAGACACGGTCGGCTAAGGAATGTTGGCTAGCAAGACCTAAAAGAAGTGTCTTTTCTGCCATGGCACTTACCCTTTTGAACATCATCCTGTCTCTGCTGGCCTTGAAATTTTGTTTGTGATTTTGTGCCTGAGCCTGGGGCCCTGGGTGTGTGACAGAACCTATCTCCTGCTTATCTTGATAATTGTTTGGATGATGCCTGGCTGATATGGGCTTTAATTTTTATATTCTATATTTATATTTATATATAAATGCATATATATTATTGTAAGCCACCTACAGTCATATATGTGAGAAAAATCAAATAAATAAAAACTGCTGAAAGCCGCAAAACCCATGCCTGGTCTCAAAGGATCCAGGGCCTGCTTAAGAGCCAAGGAGATATAGTGGAGGTTAACTCTCAGCTCAGCTTACTTCACACAATTATTGTTGTGGGATAAAATGGAAACCTCCCTGAGGGCTGCTTTTGAAAGAAAGATGAAATAGAAATCAAATACATTTCATAGTTACATAGCTGTACCTGACTTTGGCTAACTAACGCTGTTTATACATTTACCTACCTCACTTTTCTATTTCAAGTCACGCATGAGCTACATCATGATTTCTGTTGAAAGAGAAAGAAACCAGCAATCCCTGAGTATCCAGGGAGTCATGAATACTTCCATCCCACCAGACCTCAAGAAGTGATTATTTCTTCTTCCTCTTTCTGAATCCTTTTCATCTTCTGTGCTATGACTTTCTGCTGCATGCTTAAAAGCAGGGATTATCTGCTTTCTGTTATTACTGGCCTGTTTATCACTCTTTTCACTTCCCAGACGGAAAAAAAAATAAAGCTTTAAATACTTTTCAAAATCATCTATGAAGTAGAAATATAGAGAAATACTTTAAATACTTTTCAAAATCATCTATGAAGTAGAAATATAGAGAATAGTTCAAAAACCCCAACTGTTAACATAAAAATTTAACTACAGTAGATATACGTTCTATGTTTTATTATGATTTGGAAGCAACATATCCCCTATTTTCAGTTGACTACATCTGATTTCTTTCCCTTGCAACTAGACCAGCAAATGTTAGAGAGAAAACCAAGAATTTCTTGTGTACTTTTGTCAGCTTAATGCCCCACTGTCTCACAAAACAAATCCTTAAACCTTCAGCTCATGGTAACTTACTGAATTCTCTTAGTGGCCAAAGGTAATTTTCGATCAGATCAGGGGTAGTCAACCTTGGCTCTCTTAGCTGGCTCAGGAATTCTGGGAGTTGAAGTCCACGAGTCATAAAAGAGCCAAGGTTGACTACCCCTGGATCAGATCAAAGCTCCGTTCAGACTAATGTGTCCCTAGCTAAACCAAGTGGAAAGCATATTATGAATGCCTGCTCCTTAATTTTCCTGCTTGCTACAGTGAGAAGGCTTCGGTGCCCCTTCTTTCCTATTTATATAGTGCCTCTTGCGAAGAAGCCCCAGCTCAGGTGATCTCTTGTGATTCCATGTTGTATTTTACTGGCACACGTTTATCCCACACAAAGGAACTGAGCAAGCCCCCCCCCCCGCAATGCTTTAAGGGGAACAGGAGAAGAAACCAATAATTAAAAGACATACCTAAATTGCCTTAAACGTTTTGAGAGACAACTGTTAGAAGAATAAATCTACATTTTTGATGCATGGGGCATGTCAGTACAGCTCTGGAAGTTGCCTGAAGATCAAAAGCAAGAGGAGCATGCTGGAAAGGAGATAATCTCCCATAAGCTATAATTCGCTCAGACCCATGGGTTCTATAGATTTTTATATTCGTTTTTTGAGCAGTTCATTCCTTCTCCCCCCTTCTTTATCTGCAGAGACTCTTCTCTGCTGAAAACCAAGCATCTTAAAACCTCAATTATCACTAGAATGGATACAAGATAGGCTATTTCAGTGGTTCTCAACTTTTTTAACGCCGCGACCCCCAACCGGTCGTAAGTCGAGGACTACTCAACCGGTCGTAAGTCGAGGACTACTCAACTGGTGCAGCACCGTTTGCAGAATGGGACTTTTGGCGGGCTCAGCAGGGCAGAGACAGCCTGGACAATTCCTATTGGCTTTTGAAAGCCAATAGAATTAGACTCTATTCAAGAGAGTCTATTCTATTGGCTTTCAAAAGCCAATAGAATAAAAGGGAGTAGCACAGCTAAGGAAAAGGGGAAAAAAATGGCGGACTGCGTTGTTTGGCGTCCCCCGTGAAATGGTCGTTTGACCCCAAATGGGGTCCCGACCCACAGGTTGAGAACCACTGGGCTATTTCTTCTTCTCTGCAAGGATCAAAGCTGATGATATTCAGGAAAAATCCACTCTTCCTTAGAAGCCTCTTCACAGCTCAGGAAGTTAAGGCCAAATCTCTCCAGAAGCTTCTTCCTCTTCCCCCCACCTAACCCCAAGGGGGTTATGCATCCATTGAACATGGCACACTCAAAATGAAAACCTTCCAAAACCCTCTCCGCAAAGGGTTTTCCCATACCAGCCTTTTGTGACTTGGATCCTCCCTGAAGTAGGGATTTCAATTTCCAAAATTACTCCATTGCTAAGGACTTGGGAAATTGGAAACAACATCGGAACAGCACCTGGGCCGGAAGGTCTGCGGGTTTTCATTGTATTCGATCAGTTTGCCCATAAAAAGAAAGCCATAATGTAAATTGTTGGGGGTTTGAAAAGAAAACCACAGATGCTCTTGTGTAAATGCTTAACAACGGCTAGAAAACTGGGAAAGTTGCCTGTGTTCTGCATAACAGCCGGAGGCTATGCAGCAGCCTCTTCTTTTAGTACTGTAGTTATCAGAGAGTAGGATTATTAACCTCTCCCATTCTTGGGCCTCTTATTGCAAAGATCTTTCCATGAATCTCTAACAGAGGAGAGGAAAAGAAAAGAGAAAACATGGCCTGTGGCCCAGGAAACTACTTTCCACTGGGAATAAATAAATCTGCACCATTGCTTTCTCCAGCGTTCATTTAATTAAAAAAAAAAAAGTTCTTTGAGTTCTTTCCATTCTATTTATGGAGGAATGTGCTAATATAACTTATTTAAAAAAATGAGGCTGTTTTCTTTCCAAATCTTTATAAGGATTCTTTGATAAGGAACACTGTAGAGCTGCTGCTTGACCAAATAGCGAAGCCCATCCCACAGCAAACAAGTTACTGTAGCAAATGTAACACGTGGATTAAACTTGCACACAGAGTTTGCAGGACACTCGTGTAAGCCAAACATATGGAGAGCAACGAGTAGCTTTTCTGGAGCACTGCCTTGGATTTAGATCACAAGTCACAAATGTATTTTCTTCGCTTATTTCAGAGTAGCTGTTTCTGACACAGAAAACAACTGCCGGTGGGACACCATCAACCTCTACTCCCCATCTGACCTTTTCAGCTGCTGACTCCTTCCTTTGCTATATAACCATTTGAAGCATTGTTTTCCCAGTCTTGCCTACGGTTACTCCGCAATAGCCAAACATCATCTGACGAAGTAAACTGCAGCTCATGAAAGCTTGCCTGTCCATCAAGTCATCTGTCACATTTTGTAACTGTTCATCTCCCTCACAGCGGGACTCCGGACCGGTGTCCATTAAAATATTAACACATAAAGAAAAGTTAAAATTTAAAAAGAGGTATGATTAAAACAATGTTAAAAATTAATTAAAAAGGCAATGGAGTAGGCTTTTTGGGCGTTAACCAGCCCCAGAGTTGTGTGCTCTTCCGTGCTCCACATGCAAGGCTGCAAAGCCATGTTTTCGCACCTTTTATCTTATGCCTTTTCAGTAAAATTTGTTAACAAGACAAGGTGCTTTCAGACCTGTTTTTAAATGGATCACACTAAGCTTATAGATAACATTGGGAAAGTTACGCTTATCAGTACCGACAATAGTGGACAAAAGGCCACCTTATTTCCTGCAGCCTTCTAAAGGCGTTGAGCAATAAATCTCAACATTTTCAGTGGGAGTCCGACTTGTCTAAAGGGCAGATTGTGAAAGCCTGATTTAAAAAGGAAAGGGAGAAAGGATAGAGAGGAAAGCAAGCTAACTCAGCCATTTACGTGTCTAAATGGATTTTCTAACAAACTGCTAATCTGGAAATAATTTTGAACAAACAGGAGTGGGGCTGTCAACAAAGCATTATGCTACAGTCACATTCCCATGCTCTCCCATGTTGAAAGAGCATTGTGCTTATTGCCAGATGTTTTCTTGATAAAATTCAGATAGTTTAGGGAGACTTTTCAATGAACCTTCCTGGATAAGGCAGTGTAAAGGAGACTATCTTTTAGAAAGCTAACTTTCACTCTCAGGGGCCATCTGAGGACCACCTCCTGAGCTTGGAGCTAAGTAGGGTCAAATCTAGTTAGCGCTTGGATGGCTGACTGTCAGGAAATCCCAGAGATGTAGGTTAGATTGGGGAGTTGGGGGTGGGGACATAAAAACACCACAAAGGAGACAATGCAAACCAGTTATATACTGTTGCAAAAATAAAGGCTACCCAGACGTCTCCATGAAACCATGAAACGAAGAAGACAGGACTTTAACTAAAGAAAAGTTTACCTTGCTAATCCTGCATGGTTCTAAAATTAAGAAATGCCCTCCCTTGGGGAATGCACTTAGCCTCAACTTTTTTTAGAAAGTGAATTAGGACACAGCTTTTTAATGAGCATTTATAAAAACATATTTTTATATAATGTGTTTTTAGGGTCCTACTTATTTTGGGCTGAATTTTGTATTATACTGTATAAATTTAAAAAAATGTATTTTTTTTTTTAAAAAAAGAACCTGCTGCTCATCTGTAGTTACCCAATCCTGATTCTTGGAAGGAAAACAGACTATATATATATCTAATAAATGAATAATGCAGGAATTGGGATCTTGTTATGTTGGCCCTATGTTAGGTCCTCACCAAGATGGCCATAGTCGGCTCCGGGATGCCCGACCTTAAGTTTAAGAAGGCCATTTGCTCTCTTCCCGCAAGACTGAAAGGTCGTCAGTAGGTCGACCCCAGAAACACAGCCGTTCCAATAGGGGCAAGATATTGGTCACGCGTTCCGAGATCTCATTTCTGAGCAAAAACAAAGGAAGAAAGTTTTATTTCGCCTCGAGGACGAATCGAATCATCACCGCGGCTTCACCAAACTGGCAAAGAAACAATTCGAGAAGAGCTCTGCCTCCCCAAATCGGGCCGATGTAATCGTGCCCTGGCGCAAAGTAACAGCCAGCACCAGCCTGCAACCCGCCTAAACGCAGGGATCCGGGGACGGACAGGCACGGCCAGTGTCGTAATTCACAGGACCTTTAACGAACCTCCCCCCCCCTCTTCTTCGCACCTGCTGCTAAGCCGCGGCTCGGGCGGCCTCGCGTGCCTCCTCTGAACTTTGCGCGCAGCCGACACCTCAGCAGCAGGAGCTGCCTCCTCTGAATTTCTTCCCCCGCTCTTCGGGATCGATGTGCAACCGTATTTGCCAGCGCCGAGATCTCCCCAGTTCCCTCTCCGGAAGGAGAACAAAGACGAATAAAGAAAATGTTACCCTCACTTTCTATCCTGGCTCCAAGAATCCTCTCCCAATCGGCCGGGGTTCCGCCTGTCCCGCCTCCTGTGTACCGTGTTCCCTCCCCCTCCTCCCTCCCCCATCCACCTTGACTCCCAGCCTTTCCTTCCCACCAAACGATCTCTCCTCGGAGCGCCAGATGCCCTTTCCCAAAGTCGAGGAAGCGTGCTGCCCTCCCCCCCCCCCAAAACCCTTCAGAAAGCCACTGCGGACCTGGAAAGAAGGTGGTGGGGGGGGTTACGTGGTCACAATAGCCGAGAGCTTCCCACTTAATTTGGTTTGGCCTTTCCTTGGAGTCTTATTGCCCAAGTCCTGACGCGGTTCCTCCTAAACACCAGGGCGAATCCCTAAAGCCCATCCCGGGTAGCTTTCCTCCGCAGCTCCTTCCACCGGAGGGCCTTTGAACGCTGCAGAGGCACGTTGCCCAGGACTATCGCTTTCTTTTCACCACTTGGGAATGCACGCGTACTTTTCCCTACAAGGCGCGATTGCAAAAATGGATACAATTCCCTGTACGCTTAGTACCCTAGTTGTAAATCCCATGGAGTTCTGTGAGATTGAGATTAAATCCTGACGAAATGGACTAAAGCAGGGGTAGGCAACCTCGGCTCTTTTATGACTCATGGACTTCAACTCTCAGAATTCCTGAGTCAGTAGACTCAGGAATTCTGGGAGTTGAAGTCCATGAGTCATAAAAGAGCCGAGGTTGCCTACCCCTGGACTAAAGCAAGAGACAGAAACGCCCCCTTAATCAGGAGGGGCTGGGTTGAAAGGGGACTTAGCAGAGGCCAAGCAGTCTGCTGGAATGCCAATTATGCGGAGGCCGCTTGTACTTGTACCTGCAGCTGCGTCCCTCCTCAAGGCCCCTGAAGAGAAAGAGGCTCCCAGAGATTCCCGAAGGAACTGGCAACATTTTGGAAGTGTGCTGGAGAGGCAAGTCAATGTGAGCACCTTTCATGCTTGGGCAAGTGCAAACCAGCCTGCTTCACTTCTCCATTCCCACCAGCACATCTGGATCTGAGTATGCATTTGGTAGGTAGAAAGCCTGCCTTGAAGCCATATTTATTTTTTTTCACTGCAAAACTAGGAGTGCTCCTTTGGGAGTGACAGCCAATCCCCTCTGTGCTTCCTTCTCTAAAGGCTCTAAATGGGGTGGCTTCCTGCAGAACTGTGCCAGTTTTTTCTACAGCTATTGCTTTAAGAAAGCCACTTTCTATTTAAGCAAGCTTCCTTTGGGTGAACTGTATTTTCAATTAAATGTGGGAACTAGGGCCTGAAGGGAGTTGAAAACTACATTAGTCTTGCAGTATCCGAGGGCACTCTCAAAGGGCCTTTAGTAGTCCACTCACGGATTCCCAACTGTAATAAGAATTTCATACTGGCTTCTCAATAGTTGCTATCCAGTGTCCTACTGCTTCTGGAGTTTATAGCTCATGGCTTGTGGCTGTTGCTCTCCATGGATGTATACAATTCAATCTTTAAAATGGTCTTGCCTTAGCGGCCATAACATCTTCCAAAACTGAATGGGTACATGAACTATTCATTGTTTTATGTATCCAGAATCTTCGGCAACTCAGTTTTGTAACAAACAAATTCCATTATGTAGCAAATCATACAGAATTGTCTGTACAGTTGCCAAAAGTCAAATTTCACTTAAAGGCAAAACACACACACACACACACATACACACACACACACACTTAACTGAGCAAGAGAGGCCTACTCATGTTTCCATTTCTGCATGTTATTTACCTCTATCATATCCCCACATATTGACCCACTTTGAGTTCATAACTTTTCCACCTAAAGGATGGTTCTACCTTGCCAATTGTTCAACCATTTTTTACATTTTTTCTAGCAAAGTGTTGTGGTTTGGGGGGGGGGGCAGACAATAACATCTGAAGTACATGAATGAAGACACTGAAATATCTTTCTATTCCTAGCTACCACAACATGTGCAATTTACTTTTTTCCAGATAGCTGCCTTACATTTGATTAGTGATATCATTAAGAAATCTATTACAGTTCCGATTACTTTCTAGTTAACCACTGCCAGCTAAGACCACACACACACAGAGAGATGCCCTTTTACCAACGATGTTACATTAATTTATACTGAGTTAGATATATCATTGTAATACTAATTTCCTCAATCTGAAAAATCATTTTATAGGTCTTCAGTGTCCCTTTTTGTTATAATTTGAAATTGCTACCTTGTCAGTAAGCCATTTCTCTCCTCACCTGAAACTCTTGACCATGTAACCAAGGCCAACCGTTTATTTTATGTCCCTTAACTGTCCAAATTAGTCCATTCCTCCAAAATTTTTGTGGTTTGTCCGTTATTAATCAAGACGACACAATTTCTTTGTACTCGTTTTATATTTGGTATTGCTTGACTATTGCTCATTTTCATTTTTTATTCTTGCTTATATTAATATTTTTTTTTATTGAAAGTTTTATAAATTTTACAAAAAGACAAAAACAATACAAAACAAAAGACAACATATACAAAAAAGAAACTAAACATTACATATAAAAAAAAAAAAAACCCATCCCCCACCCCTCACAAAAACCCTCCCTTCCCCCCCCTGAGCTTCCCAGAGCAGAATATAGGCTTAATTAAAAATTAAGAAATAAAAATAAAAAATTAAATTAAAAAATTTATATATATATATATATATATATATATATATATATATATATATATATATAAATATCTATATATATATATAAAAATAAAACTTATAAAAAAGCTATGTGATATTTTTGTATACAAAGGAGGTTGTATTGATGTTAAATTTGATTACAGCCGCTAGGCTGTTAGTAGGACAATATTGGAAGAAGGAATCCTTGCCCACATTGCAGGAATGGTTTCTTAAAGTAGCTTATCTGGCGGAAATGGCAAAGATTTCGGCTTTCTTAAAGCAACAAACGCAAGAGAAGTTCCTTGCTGTTTGGGACAAATGGATAAAATTTATACAATTTAGATTAATATTAAGGAGATATAATTCTACTTTTGAAAAAAAAAGAGGCTTGGGATCATCTTTCAGCAGATAAAACGCAACAGGAAGGAGAAGATGCAAGCCTGACTGGTGATCAGCAAACAGGACTATCACACCCATGGTAAGATGGAACAAACAGCAGGGTTGAGCTTTATTCATAGAAGAAAGGATGGAAAGCATCTCACCACTTGTTCTAAACAACTGGCCCAACCCTATTCAAGCATTTCAGTTCTTGAAAACACAGTATCATAACAGGCCAATTCCCCACCTACCTATTATTTAGATCTTCCATGGGGGAAAAGTGCGGATAGAGGACTAATAAGACAAATAACATCATATAGCAGAACTTTTTCTTTCATTATCAGTTTTATTCTGTATTGAAGACATTTAGCTCTACTCTGCAGTGATACAATTCTATTACATCAGCACTGAAATATAGTGACCAGCTGCCATTTGAGAGCTTATACTGGAGGAAAAATAGATTTTCACCAACTAACAAATAACGTGCTTAATTAGATCAATGGCCTAGATCAGGGCTTTTCAACCAATGGTACGGGTACCACCTGTGGTATGTTGGCACCTGGCAGGTGGTACGCGACCATCCTAGAAAAGTGGTAGCGGGGAAAGGGAATGAGCTGAACCGGTGGCAGCACCACACAAGCCTGAGCGAGAGATGGCTGGAGCTGCAGGGCTGTCAGGGCTCAGCGGAAGCGCCAGGATCAGTGCCGCTTTCCAGCTGATCGGCACTTCTTCGGGGCTGTCAGGGCTCAATGGAAGCGCCAGGATCAGTGCGAGTGGAGCTTATCCTGGTGCTTCTGCTGAGCCCTGAAGAAGCACCAATCAGCTGGAATGTTGCAGCATCTCCAGGGTCTTGTGATTTACATTCAGATGCGTGGCAACTGATTCATATTTATGATGGTCACAGTATCCTAGGATCATGTGAAATGACCAAATCCTGCTGCAATCACCCAGCAGATGGGGAGAATAAAAACCAAATACCTCCCCACCCCACCCCTGCTGCCAATCCTCAACAGAAATGCTCACAACAATGAAAACCTCAGACAGGAGGAAGAGAGCTGCTGGATGGGCAGGCTGGTGTCTTGCTCGGCTGTGGCTTGGGGGGCACTTTTTTCAGTGCCATTGTAACTTCGAACAGTCACTAAGCGAACTGTTGTAAGTTGAGGACTACCTGTACTTTATCACTTTTTTCCTTTTTTTTTTTGGTCTTCAAAAAAAGTACCACCTTGCTAGGCGACTGGTGGTACTCGGATATTGTCATATCCTAAAAGTGGTACAATAGGTGAAAAGGATGAAAAGCCCTGGCCTAGATATTACTTTACAGAACACTTATTCCATTCTCATGAACCCACGTATTTCAAAATGTAACCTATAACTTATATGTAACTTCTTGATTTCCTCATATCTTACAAAATGGACTATATATTTCCATCATACATGTATCATATACATTTTTATTACTGTTATCCATATACTCTTATGTCATATGCTAAATAAATAAATACATCACAGGTATGTACTTATCATCTTACTTCAGCTTTTTTTTGCTTTACAGACCTGTGAAGACCTGTCACTTTTTCATCATTGTTGTAACTGTGGTCATTAAATGAGGCAGTTGCTAAATATGGACTACCCAGTGCTTTTTTTCTTAAAAAAAAAAAAAAAAGGTGCCGGAACTCACACATGTCATACAACCCGCCTTGCCTACCCTACAAGGTTCCATCCAAAAAAGGTGCCAGAACTCCATTCTGGGCGTTCTATGAGAAAAAAAGCTTTGGGACTACCTGTACCATACTGCTGGCCCGCAGGCCAGTTTCATCATACCGAAGCTGTGCTCACCCCATTGCCGGCAATGCACAAAGAGTTGCGATACGTCACGTGACGTGGTGAGTTTGACACCTGTGTCCTATACTTATCTTTTTTTTCCTTCAGGACTTTTCATTTCCTTGTGTTTCAGAT